ATCATTGCAGTCGATAAGTAGTTCAGGGAATCGACCTTTCTTGACCCCGTTGTTAAGTGAACCATTGCGGTCGATAAGTAGTTCAGGGGATTGAGCTTCTCCCCCCCCCTCCCCTGGTTGATTTTGCTCGTCAGAAGGCCGTAAAAGGGGACCTTGGGACCCGGCAACGGTCGTAAGTGTGAGTCAAGCCTTTTGATCACGTGACCGTGAGGAATGCTACACGAGTCTGGGAGAAAAAAACGGTCCTAAGTCACTCCCCCCCCATGCCATTGTAACTTTGAATGGTCACTAAACGAACCTGTTGTAAACACTCCCCCTTACAATAGGTTAGGCAAGGATTTGATCTTGTGTTTGCAGCCGCCATCTTGGTTTTCTTTGTACGAATAACCCTTTCCCCAGATCAAGTATGACTTCATGATAGACCAGCTACCTCTTCTCAAAGAGATCTTCTCTCTTGAGGGACCCAGCAAGGAGTAAAGTATTTGTAAGGCAGAAGCAGCCAGAACAAGATCCGAAGTCAACATCCACCATTCTTAAGCCACCATATCCATCAGGTTTCCGGTAAGGATGAGCGAATCGGCCTTTAGCAAATGTACTGGGGGGAAAAATAACTGATATTTTTTGCTGAATTTTAGTGCAAAGATGCAGAACCCCAAAATTTGAGGGGTTTGAAGTTCCAGGGAGCTGGAGGATAAAACCTATGATGAATGGTTGCAGGAACTGGAGCAGAGGTCTCCAACGTTGGCAACTTTAAGACTTGTGGACTTCGACTCCCAGAGTGCCTCAGTCACTTTAAGACTTAAAGTGCCTGGGGAACTCTGGGAGTTGGAAGTCCACCATTCTTAAAAGAGACTGGGGAATTCTGGGAGTTGACGTCTATAAGTGTTAGTGACTGGGGAATTCTGGGAGTTGGCGTCTATAAGTGTTAGTGACTGGGGAATTCTGGGAGTTGACGTCTATAAGTGTTAGTGACTGGGGAATTCTGGGAGTTGGAAGTCCTCAAGTCTTAAAAGCAACTGAGGAATTCTGGGAGTTGGAGTCCACAACTCTCTCTCTCACACACACTCTCTCTCTCTCCCCCTCTCTTTAATTGATTTTCTGTTAAATACATTTCCTAGTACTTTATAAACATCTTGCTGTCTGGGTATTTAATTTGCTTAACAATACAAATTACATTCTTCATCTCTACCCCTTTTCTTCCAAACATTGGTAAAATAAATTCCATGTTTGATAATATTCTACCTCCTCTTTCTGCTTAATTTTTCAATGTCAATCTATCCATTTCTGCCCAGTCTTCTTAGCTATTTCTTCATCTCATGGTATATCTTCATCTTTCTAGTATTGTGCGAAAATAATCCTCGCTTTGCTATTAAGACGTGTAATATTAAATACATACTTTTCTTATCAAGTCCATCTGTTCTCTAAAGCCCCAGAAGGCAGGACAAGAAGCCACGGATGGAAACTAACAAAGGAGAAAAGCAACCTGGAATTCAGGACAAACTTCCTGTCAGTGAGGACAATGAACCAGTGGAACTGCCTGCCACCAGAAGCTGTGGGTGCTCCATCACTGGAGGCTTCTAAAAAGAGACTGGACAGCCGTTTGTCCTACAGGGTATAGAGCAGGAGTTGGCAACCTATGGCTCTGGAGCCGCATGTGGCTCTTTCATCTCCTCTGCTGCAGCTCCCTGTTGACAGTTAGCTCCACAATTGGATGAGGTGGAAATCTGGCCCTCTGGATGTCATCGTCTCCATCCCCAAACTTAGATGGAGACACTGTTCTCAACGAAGGGTGGGTTGAGGTAATTGTAGGGGAGAGCCAACGCCTGGTTCCGCCGGTTGATTTGCTCGGAAATGTCCTCCAGGCGGTTTTGAAATGTCTCGATCAGCCTCCTGGGTTCCTCTTCCACGAAGTGACGTTCTGGGTAGAACCCCAACGGTCTCTGGAAAATAAAGATCAAAGAGGAGAAAACATTTCTAGCAGTAAAACACACACACACACACACACACACACACACACACTCTGCTCTCGCCCAGAACAATGGCGATGATGCTCCCTTCACATTTTACTGGCAGAAAATTAAATTAATGGTCTCTTGTTTTTAATTTTATTTTTTGATTTTGTATTTACAATCATTCCATCTTTCATTTCACACCATGTATCGACTGGATACCTATGTCTTGTACTCACAATTATAATTAATACTTTTCTTAACAATATAACAATAATCACATTTTCTTATAACCGTTATTGATATATCTTATTACTTTTAAACAATTTTAACTTATTTCTTTATATATTCATCTATTCCATTTTAATTAATTTGTTTTATTTTCCAACCATTGATCAAATAAATCCCACACCATGTAATATTCCATTTATTTTTTTTCTTTAATTGCCAGTGTTATTCTATTCATCTCTGCACATTCCAATATTTTTGTTGAGGTAATTCCCCGTTAGGAGAATGAGCGCATACAGGGAGACGTATTTGAGAGAAGTGTTTGAATAATATACACACAGTACACAGATATGCTGTACAGTAAATGTAGGTTTTTACTTCCAGAAAGGTTTAAGCAAAGTCCAAAATAAGCAATCCAGAATCATTCACAAGTAAAGATCAGTCAGTTTTCAATCCAGGGATAATCCAAATATCAAAATCCAGTATCAAAAACAGTTCAGTATCAGACTTACATTAAATCAAGTAATATCAGTCAATTAGAAGAAATGGAGCAACAGCAGTACTTTCCAACAGAAGGAAACAGAGATATACTCACACTTTCTTCTGAGACTCAGACTAAGACAAACCAGGTTTCTGGCTCCATCTTATGGCCGTTTGAGAAACCACACCTAATTACAGTTTTGCATTTTCTTAAAGATACAGTTTTAAAATGTTTATCCTGGTTTATATATTTCTAACCCAAATAGCTGTTAGGTGACTTATATTCCTAACAATTTTCTTGATTACTTTTCCCTCTGCCGGTATCTTAATCACTTTTCCAATTCTGAGCAAATACAATTCTAGCTGCTGTTAATACATGTATAATTAAATATGTTTTTTTTTTCTTTACTGTTACATTCAGGTATCATCCCTAATAAAAATATTTCAGGTTTCAAATCTATATGTGGCTTTATCATTTTTTCCAACCATATGTGTATCTCTTGATTTATGCCAAACTAAATAAAGATTTCAGATGAGAGACCTTGAAAAACGGGAGAAATATTTTTTAGGGGGTAGTCCTTACAACCATTCCTTTAGGGGGACTGCTCCAAGTTTTAAAAAGTGACATATGACCGTTTTTCACAGTTATGACCTCTGCGGCATCCAAGTGATCATGTGATGAAAAGAAGGGGGGAAGGAGGGAAAAAGAAAAAAAGAAAGAAAGACAGACCAAAAGAAAAAGTGAGGGAGGAAGGGAAGAAAAGGAGGAAAGAAAGAAGGAAAGAAAGAAAAAGAGAAAGGATGGAAGGAAGATGGAAAGAAGAAAGGAAGAAAAGGAGAAAAAGAAGGAAGGAAAAAAGAAAAAGAGAAAGGAGGGAAGGAAGTAAAGGAGGAAAGTAGGAAAGAAAGAAAAAAAGAAGGGAAGGAAGGAAGGAAGGAAGGAAGGAAGGAAGGA